CTCTCTCTCTCTCTCTCTCTCTCTCTCTCTCTCTCTGTCTGTCTGTCTGTCTTGTGCGCTCTCTCTCCCTCTTTCTCTCCCTCTCTCTTTACAATTAATTTTAATAAATATTATTTCAGCAAAATAAGATAGTTACTCTTCAAAATGAAATAGACATTATTGAAAACAAACTGGAATTAATAAATGTAAGCACTTCCCCCCTCGTGCTTAACATCTTTTTCGTGTCTTTCTCGTTTGTTTTGAATTTTGTAATAAATAAATAAAAAATAATAAAAATTTTGATATGCTGATAATATCAAATATTATTTACGTAAATAATTTTAATATTTTATTCCTTAGAATAATATAACATTGATTAAAAATGATATGATGAAAAAAGCTCAAGATATTCAAAGTATCGAAAAATCCATGATGGATATTGAAGATACTGTTTTTCAAAAATTTTGTAAAAAAGTTGATATTTCAAATATACGTCAATATGAAGAAGGATACCTGAAGTAAATAGCATTTATGAATTTAAAATACTTTGAAAGATATATGGTTTTTTACATTTTTGTTCTTGAGGATATTTTATATTTTTGTTATAACAGATATCATCAAGAGCAAACAAAGAAAAAACTAGAATTAGAAGAACAATATGGTCGTATTAAAAATTTGTTGGAAATTGAAAAGGCTCGTGATACGAAAAGTGAATATAATATAACAAGTTTATATTATTTTATTACTTATTGCTCATACGTCTAATTCAATTTAATAACATCAAAATTAATTATTTATCGAGAAATTTCTATACGTACATGAGAATATCTGTTTTCTTTTCTTAGGTACAATTTTAAAGGTGAAAAAAGAGTTGGACACGGTTAAAAATGAGCTGGAAGAAGCACGTGAGAATGAAGTTTTATGTATAGAGAGTATCGAATGTGAATCGAACAGATTGAATGATTTACGAAGTAAATATAACGAAGCAAAAATTAACGTCAACGAGCAGACGAAAAACGTTAATGAATGTAGATGTAATATCGGAATCATTGCAAAATCAATTATTAAAACTGAAAAAGAATTTCTAGTAATTACAACAAATATTAAAAAGGAAAAAGCAAAATACTATGCTATTTTGAAAGAGTGCAAGGTAACGTTGATACGTGTAATGATACACGTATTAATAATATCAATTAATTTTCATTCTGGTTCAATAATCTTAAGTTATAAGAACGTTTAATAGAAATTAAACCGCTAACTAAATGAACTTAAAATATATAAAATTTTTAAGTTATGTAAAATCAATTTAAACTCTATTTCTTTACCTTCTTGTTTAAAGCAAGTTCTATCAAGTCTTGCGAATGATATCCTTTTAGTAATAATTATTTTTTGGTGATATTTAAAAATGTTTTTCTTAATTAATTTATTTCAAGCATATTTCACAAACTTAATATAAAAATTTAGCGTAATTCTGTAAAAGTTAATTACATGTATTTATGTATTGATAGATAGAAAATGTTACTATTCCACTACTTTCTGGTGGAAAGGCAAATAAATTTGAAGATGTACTTAGTACGAGCGATTCAACGCCAAACACGGACACACAAGGCATATTTATGCCCATAGATTTCAAAATATTGTCCGAGGATTTTAAAACTCGAACAGACGAAAAAGTTGTTAATTCGAAAAGTAAACTTGTGGAAGAAGTTGAAGAATTGCAAAATGAAATGGAATCTATAAAAAATCCAAATTTCAAGGTTTGTAAAAATTGCTTGAACGAATATCGATGAAATGAAATAATGTCTGAATCTATGTACCACAGGCAAGCAATGAAATTGAATTCGCAATTGAGAAGTTGAAGGATACGAATTTTAAATACCAGGAAGCACGTGAGAAAATGAACACGATTAAAAAACAGTTTGAAACAGTGAAACAAGAAAGATACAACAGATTCACGCGTAGTTTAGAACACATCGCTATAGAATTAGATTCCATTTACAAGGTAAATGAATATTTTTCTTACGCTGTAGATATAGATCTGAGGCTACATTATCTATTGTATATAAATTTTTTCATAACAATAAAGTATTAATTTTTATTTCATATAATTGTAAAAGTGTTTAGTAAAAGATCAGTCGGCGCAAGCGACTCTCATACCGGATAACCCTGAAGAACCATACTTAGCTGGGCTGAATTATAGTTGCGTAATGCCGGGTAAACGATATCAATCGTTTTCGAATCTCTCCGGTGGAGAAAAGACACTCGCTACACTAGCTATTTTATTTGCAATTCATAGGTAATTTATCACGATATTCGTACGATAAGATGAGAATACTGAAAATATTACTTGCGTTCAATTTTATTTCCAAGTATTTTCTTGACGTTACGAATAACCAATTTCTGACTAGAATTAAACATATAGTTTTAGGCCAGCACCATTTTTTGTGTTGGATGAAATTGACGCAGCTTTAGATACCGTAAATGTAAGAAATGTCGTGCAATTTATATGCTCTAAGAAGGAAGAGATGCAGTTTATCATTGTATCTTTAAACCAACAGTTGTACTCACATGCTGATGCTCTGATTGGAATTTGCCCTGATGTAAGTTATACTTTTTAAGTCATTAAAAATAAGTGTTTATTCTACACACTTTGCACATTAAACTTTTTATATTTCTAGACTACTGGAGAATGTCCAGAAAGTTTAGTATATACGCTTTCACTGAAAGAATATTCCACATCATGCGAGAAATAATAATCCCTTATTTTATGCTTAATTCGCAACATTATTATTGTTAAATGAAAAATTGAGAATTTAATTTTCAATCTATGAATTTAATATTTAGCTTAAATAACTTATGGCACAACTATATTATTGAGTTGGATTTTTTTCGCAATACGTATTTTAATGAAATAAAATGCAAAGTTATGGTTTTTTTTCCCTCAAATTATTTAAGCGTTGTACCTTGTAAAAAGAACTGCACATATATGCACATTGTATGATTTAATCGGAATAGTAGTGACGATGATACTGATGATACTGATGCAACCTAATATTCCGAGGTCTGTAGTTCGCGTTTCGATTAAACTACTTTTAACGCGTTATTTTTGTGTAACTGCTATCGATGAAACGAATTACTCATAGTTTGAATTTTCTTGTTAAATTATTTCGAATGTTTATTTGGACTGTAATAAATTTTTGAATGATATTTCACTTTTCGTTAAATACTTTTTTTCCACGCACACGCTTATGTGTTCTTTTCTCGTAAGTTTTGTCAAACGTTTGTGTCAAAATACGTTTCTCGTATAAGATAAAATTTTATTTTTTAGTTAATTTACTTGACTTATTTAAAAATGAATCGATCTGTGTCATAAAGAAAATGTACACAGATAATTTGTCTCGACGAATCAACGAACTTGATTTGAAGATGCTTGATAAAATTCTCAATGTTGATGGAACGAACTTGATGAGGATCGTCACGAATTTTCATCGTAATATAAAAATTATAAAAACAACACTGGCTAACACAAATCGTACACTGGCCCAATTATACTACTAGAAATAGTGGCAACTCTGATTTATAGTCGGACAGAACGATACTGCGACTTGGGTCAATGTAGCCTATTACGGTTAACGCTTTGTAAAGTAAGTCGTACTCCGGGAATGCGGCCAAAATAATGATTGTCGTTTAATAAACTTATCAAGTCGCGAAATGACGCGATTTATAACATCGTAACCGATAAAAACTGAAGGATCCTTGGAATATCACGATCATCAGTTGTTTGCGTATTCATATTTTTACTAGTATAGCGATAAAATCGCATTCTTTTGCCTAATTTGTTCAAAAAAATTTTAGATGATGTGTCTAAATTTGCGCGAGCTCTTAATTAATAAAATTATAATCTCACACGTATGCGATGATGTGTCGAAAAAATGTTTAAACGTACGATATCAATTTTTGAACAGGTATTGCAATTAAACTATCAACCATACAGGTTGAATTGAATTGAATTGAATTGTCACGTAGGTTTCCTAATTTACACGTTTGCTACGTCACATATTGCGTCACATATATGATATTTAGAATAGCTATATTTAAAAAAAAAAAAATCTGTATGTTTACTAAGAAACTTTTCCTTGAAATGAATTTCTTTGCGATAAGAAGACGAAAGACTAGACGAAATTAAAAGTAGGTACGTTCAGCAGAATAAACAAGTGGCATGCGTTCTCGATTATCGTAATAAAAGCAATAAGAGCAATTTCTTGGTAAAGGGTGATGACCTCTTTGTTTCGTAAGACGAATCTAGGGTGAAGAGACGTGAAACGTACGTGAGAAGAAGCGATACGCGCCTTCCTTTTTCACACAACCTGATGATGTTGAAATACATGAATTGATGTATGTAAATTTATATTTGCTAGATCGTCTAAAAGTTGAAACAAACTAGAAATAATATTTTTCTAGTCGGGAAAGTCAAAGATGCAAAAAAGTCAGAAATGACTTCAGGTAATGATATCATAGTTACATGTAATGTACATGTACATGTATATGTAATAAATAAATAAAATGAGACGAGAGATGAAATGAAACTGGATAATTACAGTTTGGGCTTGAAAATAAAAAGAATGCCTTTCACATGATGTTGAAGTTATTCGAAAGTTACCAAGTTACTTTTCCATTTTCGGATGGATATGGACGTGTACGTGTAAATTTAACAACAAACTTATTATTAATTATATATGTTGTACATTCTGCGCGACTCTAACGTTTCATCCCTCTATGTGCTAGCTTGTGGATGTAACAGAAGGGAGAGGAATGAGTTTTTCAACGTGAGAAATGTGTCAGAGGAGACAGGAGAGAAACCATGACGCCGAAGGAAAGGGATCAAAGAGAAGGGATGAGATGAAACTAACAATAAGTAAGAGTACAGTGGGAGGACTACTATGTAGATCGTAAAACGGAGGATGATGACCTGCCCTGAGTTACAAAGCATCTGCTAAATAGATGATACGCCAGTTGTCGTAAGTTTCTCGAGTTGTCCTCAGCTTCTCGAGAACGAAGACGCGTTGGCTCTAGGATCAGATTACTGGCTATCGGCTGTCGCAGCTGCTAGTAGCTTAGTAGCTGCTCCATGGGGCTGAAAGCCCTACAGATAACCGCGGCGTTCGTCGTGGTGCAGCTTCTTTTGCTGCAGGCTCACTCCGTGCGCATCAAGCTCAGGAAACAACGCTCTAAATCGCTGCAAGCTCAACAACCTGCCAACGGTGATTACGATTATTACGGTTACGACGATGACGACTACGACGACAAAAATGGTGAATATTACAGTTATATATTTGTTTTGTTTTCTTTCCTTCGTCACAGCGTGTATTACATTTACATGTAGGTGAATTGGAACCTGAATAGGCGAATTGGATTGTACATTCTAGAATCTTGAAAAATTAACTTCAAGTAATATTACACGTCTTTTTAGCAACTTTTTAATGTTGTAAGCCGTTAAATCAGCAACTGTGTCTCCATCTCCAGTCATCAGGGCGACAAATGTAAAGAATTTACATTTTTTTTAAAAATGCAATCAAATATAACTGACAAATATAGTAATGTATCAATTGCAAAATAATTCTATTTTCTACGTAATTTTCTTCTTTATTAAATTAATAATACAAGTTCTGATGCTATGTTTGGATCGTTTAGTTGTTTGACGGATTTATTGAATTCTTTAATCTTCTTCAATAATTCCAACAATTAAAATCTGATGAGCAGAGTCAATGTATATAATTCACATGCAACAAGATCTAAATCGTGAGAAAGAAGCATTTTAGCATTTTAGCATTCTTTCCCAAATATATTATGATAAATATTTTAAAAGATAAAGAAAATTCTTACAAATTTAATAATCACGTAAGCTTGTTGTTTC